TGTTTATTTGTTTGGCGGTTTTTTTGTTCGGTTGATTCTGTGTGTGTATGTGTGTTGACATGATTGATTCAAATAACGTGTGTGTTATTTAACCAGATTGGGGTGGTAGTTTGTTTTTAAACACCAGTTAACAGAGTGTTCAGTTTAACCGCGCTATTTATTTGATTTTTTATTTCGCTTAATTTTTAATCCCTTGTTTATTACGATTACAGCACAACTGAGCTATTAGCGATTATGAAGTAGTAATAGTATTTTATTAACAGTTGGTGTTCTAATTGCTATTCTTTCCCTTCATTCCTATGTGTCCCTAGTGGAACCTATAGAGTTTGAGGCTTGAAGTTGTGGTGTTATTTTCCCACTTGGTGGGTTTACTATCGATTGGTGAGTTCCCTGAGCGGAATTTGCGTCCGTCTTCAGGGAATTGAACTCAGATGTGATGAAAGACGTGGTTGGCGCTAGCATTTTACCACTGTGGTTTGGTCACACTTATGCTAAATGCTAAAATAATAATAATCATTATCATTTCCTTTAATTCCTAGAGGAACATAGGGCTGCACGTCTCCATTGCGTTTGGTTCTCTGCCAACGTTTTCATCTGGCTCCAGGTCTGCTCACATGCTTTCATCTCCTCTTCACATCACCTCCTCCAAGTCACCCTCTCACTCACGACCAACTCGCCGCTTTCCTTTCGGTGGGTTTCACTCGAGCAAGAGCTTGTCTAGTGATGTCATTCACTTGATGGTTTCCTCAGAGTATAGCCAGCCAATCCATCTCCGTTTCTTCCTGCCTATTTGTTGCACAATCAGTTCCTGTTGGGTTGGTTCGCTCATTGCTGGAGATCCTTGTTGCCGATCTTTTCTGGCCATCTGATCTTGAGTATTGACCGAAGACAACTGTTGATGAAGGTCTGAAGTTTGTTTGAGATGCTCTTTATGACGCGCTGGCCGAGTCTCTGATCCGTATAGTATTACTGACTGACTTCACATTGGAGTTGAAAATCCGGTTGTTATTTTCGTTTTGATGCTGAGTACTGTTGACCTCCACACAGACTCACTTGAGAGAAATGAGAGCTTGTCTTGCTTTTCCGATTCTGGCTTTGTCTGTTTGTCTGTCTGTTTTCGACATAGAACTTTGCACAAATGTGCGGAAGTTCAAGTCGCCACATTCCGTGAAGCACGCGAAGCAAGAGAAGAAAGTACAAGAAAAGCATAATAGAAACAGTGAGCAAAGGTGTGAGACAAAGGAGTAATAAAGAAATACAAAACAGTTTCATTGAAGATCATAAGTCACAGGGAGTGGATGCATCTGCGCCACTGAGAACGGTTTTGAGCCATGTCACCAATTGTTTCCAACCATAGATTTTTACCGTCCCGAGGACCCCAGCCTGGAAGTCTACACCTTTCTACGTGGCTTAGACCAACTGTTGTGGATTTCATTGACTGGTGAGGCCAAGTTTTTGTTTGACCGCCGCTAGCTTTTTTCCAGCCTGACCCTATATCCGCTAACATTGCTCGTCGAGGGAGGTGATGGCTTGGCATACGTAACACATGTCCTAACCATCTCAGTCTTTGTAGCTTCACGACTTCGTCGATTGATTTCCCCTCCTTACCTAGAACTCTACGCCTAACCTCCATGTTGCTCACCTTATTATGCCACTTTACACGGGAAATAGAACGCAGGCACCTATGATCAAAGACAGCTAGTCTTTTCATGTCTTCCACTCTCAGTGGCCAGGTCTCACAACCATAAAGGAGGACGGAGCGGACTAATGAGCAGTACACCCGCCCTTTGGTCGATAGTCGAACATCTCGTCTACGCCGGAGTCGGCGTAAACTAACAAATGCGAAATGAGCCCCTTGTATTCGTGCTGAGATTTCGTCAGAGATCAACCCATTGGTACTGGCTGATGGTACTTCCCAAATAAGTGAAGCGGTCAACGTGCTCTACCACTTCACTTCCTATTTTTAAACTAGGCGTCGATGTAGTCCAGTCCTGGCTTTCATATCCTCATCAGTTCCGTCCTCCTGTAGTTGAAACGATGCTTCCCAGGTAGGTGGGTGGGTGGGTAAAGGAGGTTGTTTGTTTCAGTTTCCGCCTATTTATACTGATTGTTGTCCGTTGTTGTTGGCCAGGAATCTTCATCACCTCTGTTTTATCCCTGTCCACCTGAAGTCCTACCTTTGATGCTTCTTCTGACAGCTTGTTGCTTTTCACTTGCATATCTTCCAGTGTTTGTGGGAAATCAGAGTCTTCTGAACACCTTGAGCAGCAATCTTCGTATGTTTGGCATGCGATTCGCCCCTGCAAAGTGTAAGATGCTGCTACAGGACTGGACCCCGTCAACCCCTAACTTAGTGATAGGGAGTGAAGTGATAGAACATGTTGACCACTTCACCTACTTCGGAAGTTGTATTAGCACCAACGGACTGATTGGCGATGAAATCTCAGGACGGATCCGAAAAGCTCGAGCTGCTTTCGCTGACTTACACCATCTCTGGCGTAGGCGTGACATCCGACTATGAACCAAGGGACGTGTGTACTGCTCATCAGTTCGCTCCGTCCTTCTCTATGGCTCTGAAACATGGCCAATACGCGTTGAAGACATGAAAAGGTTGACTGCTTTCGATCATAGATGTCTGCGATCTCTGTCTCACGTTAGGTGGTTTAATAAGGTAAGTAATGTTGACGTTCGGCGTAGAGTGTTGGGCAAAGAGGGAAAATCAATCGACGAGGCTATAAAGTTACATAGACTGAGATGGCTAGGTCACGTGCTGTGCATGCCTAACCATCGTCTCCCCCGACGGGCATTACTAGCTGATATAGATAGTTGGAGGTTGGAAAAGAGCCAGTGGTGGCCAAACAAAAACATAAAATCAATCCAAGAAATCCTTGACAGTTAAACTGAGTCAGGTAGGGAGATGCAGACTCCCGGGTTGGGGCCCTCGGGACTCTATGAATCAATGGCTGGAGACAATAGGTGACATGGCTCAAAATCGTTGTCGATGGCGCAGATGTATTCAGTCTCTGTAATCTTTCATATTCCTTTCTACAATTACCCATTCTGTTTCACTCTTATATTTGTCAAACTCTATTGATTCTCTTCACTCATCTTCTTGTCTACCTTGTGTGCCAATTGGAACGTGGCAACTCGAACTGGTGCACTTGGGTGCCAAGTTCTATGTTGAATTCAGACAGACAGACAGACAGACAGTGGGAAATCAGACATATATCATCGGCGAAGTCCAGATCCTCCAAGTTGATTTTGTGTGAGTCCATTTTATGCCCGTTTCCGTATTGCCCGTTGTCTGTCGCATTATCCAATCTACTGCAATCAGAAAGATCATTGGCGATAGTAGACAGCCTTGTCTTACTCACGTCCTCACTTCGAAGGATTCCGTAAGTTTCCCGTTGTGGATTACTTGGAATGCAGCATTATCGTATAACTGTTGTATGAGATGTATAGTTGTCGATGGGAACCCGTAGTAGCGAAGTGGTTGCCAAATCACCTCTCGATCGACGCTAACTGACGAAGGTCTTTTCAAAGTCGATGAAGTTGAGATAGAGAGATAGGTGACTGTCATTCCAAGCTTTGTTCAATGATGATCCGTAGTTTGACGATTTGATCAGCACATGACTCGTTTCTCCTGTATTCAGCTTGTTCCGGTCGAAGTTTTTCATCCAGGGCGGCTTGTTTGATTCTCTCCGTGATGATGCGGCTTAGTATTTTGCTTGGCATGGACAGGAGCATATTTTCCGCGCTAGTTTTTGCATTGACTTAAGTCTCCTTTCCTCGGCAGTTTGAATAAGTATCCTTTCTTCCAATCCTCGGGTACTTTGCCCTCTTTCCACACCTTCCACATTAGGAATCCTGATTTGTGCCTCCGAAAGAAGCTGGTTCAGACATTATCCTTACCCGCTTGGCCTTCTAGGTTTGAATGATCATGAATTTTTGTGGAATTTTCCTAATTTTAGTTGATATTCTATTCGCTACTATATCTTCAGTATTATTATTATTATTGTTATTATTATTCTAATTTAAGCATCTTTAATGAACTGTAATTCCGCTGTGATCTTACTGTACAAATCGATATTATTTAAAAAGCACACTAATATTGTTATTGACTACTAATCTAGAATATTCTACGTATATAAACATGCATATATGTAATTGTAGAGCCAGAAGAGGAATTTATCGAAAAGGATATTCTTTGATCTATCTAGGGAGCATTGCCTCAACTACTGGAGGAACTGACGAGGATGTCAAATCTAGCGAGAATCGGGAAGGCGAGAAGCACATTCATCAACCTGAAACCAATCTGGAAACCAATCTTCGTCACTCAGCCAGCATCAACAACAAAATTCGGTCGGATTTTCAATACAAACAACGTCAAGTCAGTCAGTTCTTCTATACGGATAAGAAACTTGGTGCTTGGCGGGTCACAAAGAATATTTCCAACAGCCTGTTGCACAGACCTGTATCAACAACTGTCTTCGCTGGCTCTATACTGAAGATCAGATGGCCGTGTCGAAAAGAATCACCAAAAACAAGAAACTATGGAAACAAACAAAACAAGAACCAATCGCCAGCCAACAAATATGCAGGAGAAAGTGGTGAAAGATGGATTGGACACTCGCTGAGGAGGCCGCTCGCTGGGTGACATCGCGCGTCAGGTCGTTTGTCGAGTGGAACCCGAAAGGGAAACGGTGAGTGGGACGTCGGTGTAAGAGTGACATGGAGGAGATCGTGTGAAGAGGATTTGAAAGAGTATGGACTAGTATGGATGGATGCAGGTGAAAAGTACAGCAGAAGGAAGACAGAAGTGGCAAGTGGAGACGTGCAGTTGAAGCCCTATGTTCCACTAGAAACCCAAGGGAAGAATAAGAATTTTCTTTGCTCAATTATTTTGTCTTTGATAGATGTCTGAATGAATATTTTTGCTATATATAGAAATTACCTTATACAAATGTATATATGCATACATCGTTTATTTACTTTTTCAGTTTGACGAATAAAGATTCCCAGCATCGTAAACCATTGTTAGTTAATCAAGGCGTGAGCTTTGAAAGTTATTCACATCCATCTCACAGTAATGCCAATGCTAATACTGCTCAAGGCGGTACATTGAGTCATTTATCGAATACAGTATCTACAGCTGCTGTACAAGTACGTGAACAGGCTGTCAATTTGACGAAAAGAGCTATGTGGACACGAAGTGCTGATATCTCGTCGTCGACTATGAATATTCTATCATCAAATACTAATACTATTACTAGTAATAATACTAATGAGATGGTAGTAACTGCTCCGAAATCTGCCAACAATTCGATTGAAGATAAATCAGCTTAAATTTATGTGTTGAGATATGCTAATTTTTATCGAGTTAGTTAGCTGTTATTGTTGTAATCAAGTGTGCAATAAGTGTATATATGCGAGATTTTCAAAATAAATTTACTATTATTATTATGATTGACTTTTTCTTTTGCGTTCTGTGATCTACAAGAACCTGTCCGTTCACAAGATGCTTGTAGCATAGAGGGTAATGGTGGAATATAAACAAAAATAAGTCAAGCGTGAAATGCCACTGGAATAGTTCTATCCTCTGATCTTTCTTCTTCAGTCATCGCATATTTTTTCGCTTTCTAAGAAAATGTTCCATCTAACCTTTCTAGATTAATATTCAACCACTTCTACTCTCATGGTAACAACTCCGTTGATTTGACTTAACTTTTGTTTCAAATGAACTGTCGTCAAGATTTGGTAGAATAGTTCTAAAATATTTGGGCACCGAGTGTGATCATCGTGTTTTCAGTCGTCGTTGTTTGCAACTGAATGCATATCCTAAATCCGTAGCTGTCGAGTCACCGGACAACTCTAGTAGGTCGAATAAAGCAGCTCAATCTTCAGATAGAAGACAAAGCAATAAGTTCGACAGGGTGCTTCAACTAAACTCTAATCATAAACATCATAATTTTGAAAATACGTCTTTTTATTATTTTTTATTATTGTTCCCATGGGTTCCTAGTGGAACATAGGGCTTCAACTGCACGTCTCCACTTGCCACTTCTGTCTTCCTTCTGCTGTACTTTTCACCTGCATCCATCCGTACTAGTCCATACTCTTTCAAATCCTCTTCACACGATCTCCTCCATGTCACTCTTACACCGACGTCCCACTCACCGTTTCCCTTTCGGGTTCCACTCGACAAACGACCTGACGCGCGATGTCACCCAGCGAGCGGCCTCCTCAGCGAGTGTCCAATCCATCTTTCACCACTTTCTCCTGCATATTTGTTGGCTGGCGATTGGTTCTTGTTTTGTTTGTTTCCATAGTTTCTTGTTTTTGGTGATTCTTTTCGACACGGCCATCTGATCTTCAGTATAGAGCCAGCGAAGACAGTTGTTGATACAGGTCTGTGCAACAGGCTGTTGGAAATATTCTTTGTGACCCGCCAAGCACCAAGTTTCTTATCCGTATAGAAGAACTGACTGACTTGACGTTGTTTGTATTGAAAATCCGACCGAATTTTGTTGTTGATGCTGGCTGAGTGACGAAGATTGGTTTCCAGATTGGTTTCAGGTTGATGAATGTGCTTCTCGCCTTCCCGATTCTCTCTCGATTTGACACCCTCATTCTTTCCGACTGCCTGTAGTTGAGATAATGCTCTCTAGATAATTGAATGAAGTAACCTCTTTCAAATCCCTCTCGTTGATGGTGATTGGCGGTGGATGTTGCTGTTGTTGTTGTTTGGTTATTTTCATAATCTCCGTCTTGTCTCTGTTCACCTGAAGTTCTCTCTTCGCCAGCTGCTTCTTCGACAAGTTTGTCGGTCGGTTTTCGCTTGTAAGTTTTCGATTTTGTGTGACATGAAGCATAAATCATTCAGGCGCAAAATCTAGTTCTTCCAGGTTCTTCACGTCGGTCCAGTATATCCCTGTCTTCACGTTTCCCACTCACTGTCTGACGCATAATCCAGTCCACTACAATTAGGAATATCTTCGTGGGTGATAATAAGCACCCTTGTCTGACTGACTCGTGTGTTTACTCGAAACGCCTCGCTGAGTTTTCCACTGTGGATCACTTGACATGTGCCGTTGGAAAATACGTCTAATCATAAAATTCTCGATACTAACAGTTTGAACAGACATGAAGGTGTGATGTTAGCTGATGCATAAGAAATCGTGATTAATAAATAAAAAATGGATATGTACCACTAATTAATAATACTTGGTCGAAATTCCTGACTGTCTATATCTTCTTATGGAGACGTTAAGAAATGTCTTTACAACTGTTTACCCACACACATATACACATTGTGTTTAAAGTGTTTAACAAGGGTAGACCAATATTTGTAAGTCCGAGGTCAAATTTTGATCACAGCTCATACAATTTTGCTACTGAACGAAACGTTGAAATTATTCATTTCGGTCTCGCTGAGATTTTACAAATATAATGTTTTACAAATTAACTTTTGTTTGTTTGCGTATTTTTCTAACTACTTAAAAATCTTGCGTAATTGTGTATGTTATTTTGTTTCCATGTACATACACCCTGAGCACAACTCTTTCATTAAACTATTCACGTTATTACGTAACTTTTCTTTAACAATCACTCGTGACAACTCATCACTTTTGTTATACTACCCTCTTATATCTACATCCAATCCATCTGAACTTACTAATTGTATTTCGTTTGACAAATTTAATGTACACGCACACACATACAAAACAACTGTTTGCGAATCCGCCAGCGAAAAGAGACTCTTCGCTGAACTACTATTGGTCTTCTGTGTATTAATGTCCGAATGGAAATGTTTCATGAATTCTGGATGAATAGTTTAAGACCATTAGGAATCCTTCATCCTCCACTTTTATAATTTGTTAATTCTTGCATCTTATCCATGCGTACTTGACTGCTCCCCCCATCCCCGCCTAAGTCTTTCCTGGTCTGTTCACTCGACAAAGACTATGTGTCATATTGATGAGAAGTGTATTAAAGGTTTTCAGTAGGGCAAGTTATGTGCCACTCTCTACTGTAGTCGATAGACACCTGAACTCTTCTGAGATTATGGTCTGGCTAAATCCATATTGTCTAACTTTCGACAACACCCTCTCTCTATTATTATTATTATTATAAAGAAGAGAACACGAAGTTCAGTAAAGTAGTTGGCCATCATTTCGGTGATTTCATTTTCAAAAGCAACTGTACAATCCCATTGGAATACATAATTTTACATGGATACATTTTCTTGTTTGATTACACATAATTACGACGGAGAATAAAAGGTGATAATTATTTTCAACTAGATATGGTTTTTACGAGTAGAGGCTTAGAAATAAAATTACACAGGATTAGAACAGATAACAAATGTGTAAAAATGAGCATGGAAACAAAATTGAAATAATAATTTTCAACTTGAGATGGGAGTTAGGAAGCGTGAATATATACATTACAAGAGGTTTAGAAACACAAAAATTGCACAGGATTAGATTTTAATTGTAAAATAGTTAATCTTTAAACGAATTATAAATGTGAACATAGAAAGCATGGAAACAAATTTAAAATAACTGTTTTTATAACTGAAAACAGAAATGGGGTGAATCGAATGAAGACTGAGGGAGTAAGGATCAGGCAGGCAGCGAACGAAAAAAATGCTCAAAAAGAAAAGAGAGAACGAAAACAAGAGGAAAAACGGAAGTGAAGGGAACATACCGAACTAGGTCCATGGTAGTTGTAGAGATTGGACTAATTTCTTTTGAACACACAGCTCCGGCTTCTCGATGCATATTGCAAGGGCTTCTACAGTACAGAGAAGTCTGAAACATACTGCTTTTGGTGGGTTTATGTTGACTTTGTAAATCACTTTGAAAGAATCAGTTGAGATATTGTGGGAGGTGTTGACCAGATGTTCACTGATGGCACTTCTGATTGAACCGGTGCCTCCTCTTTGCAGCCACGCTGGGTAATGTTCTCTAACACGTTTGGAAAGGATACGCATACAACGACCTTTGTACCTAGTTCCGCACAAGTTGGTGAACTGGTATATGCACATTGAATTGGTCATATGTGAGAGTTTTTCCTTCATGTTGTTTCGAAGTATTGGACGGCTAGAGCGTTTCACTCTTAGTGTTACTGCAAGGAAGGTCTTCTTTAAGGAACTGTATATTCTCCTCCTCAGGATATCACTTGCCAAGTCTCCCCTGAAATTCATATTTAGATACAGCGTTTTCTTTGGCGCTGAATCGCATTCTTCTCTTCTAGGTTTAGGTTTCATGTTCTTATCGACAAAACGTGTCGGGTAGCCATTTTGAGCCAGGATATTTTTGAGGAATAGGAGCTCCTCTTCCATGCAATCGCCGCTGCAGATTTTTTCTAATGCGATGATGAGAGCTCGTTTTTGGCCGAAAGGTATCCAACTATAGAAATGCATTAGTTGGCCGTTCCATGTCGGTTTTCTGTGGATGAACCTCTTTAGGGTTCCATCATCTCTTCTTGTTAATTCTACGTCCAGAAATGAAATCTTTGAATCGTTTTCTAATTCCATTCCATGCTCATTTATACACATTTGTTATTTTTTTATTTTTATTTTTGATTACAGCTTGATTCCACATTGTATTTTTGGTACAAGTATGGAATTTTCAGCGTGGATATCGGTAGCCCAAATTTCGCAGGCCGACCGTAGATATCAGGTGTGCGTCGGCGTGGGCTCGAACCCCGGACCATGTGCATGGTCGGTGAGAGTCCTAACCACTGTGCCACCGACGCACCGTTCTAATCCTGTGTAATTTTGTTTCCAAGCCTCTCCTCGTAAAAACCAGTTGAAAACTAGTTGAAAATAATTATCACCTTTTATTCTCCGTCGTAATTATGTGTAGTCAAACAAGAAAATGTATCCATGTAAAATTATGTATTTCAATGCGATTGTACAGCTGCTTTTGAAAATGAAATCGCCGAAATGATGGCCAACTACTTTACTGAACTTTGTGTTCTCTTCTTTGTAATGTCCATATGGGTGTTTTCCACGATTATAGTCTGGCTAAATCCATATTGTCTGACTGTCGACAACACCCCCTCTCTATTTTTCACAACTCCTCTCATGCTTGCATCTCATTGGGTGGGACTATAGAAGTCATTATAAATGGTTATATGCTTGCTTGCACACAACTTAGTACAACAACTCAACGATACCTACCCTATTTAGCCGGCCCGCGCACTATGTGATCGAGACACTCACTGTTAAGCGTGAAACTTACTATGCAATTAGCTAAATAAATGGCTCTTTTATTTTCTCCTATTAGTAATTTACGATGATACTTTTTCAGTCATTTTATAATTCTAGTTATTTTAAGGAAATCTGTCTGATTCATAGTGTGTCCATTATTATTATTATTATTATTATTATTATTATTATTATTATTATTATATCCTTTAATTCCTAGAGGAGCATAGGGCTTCAGCCACGCAC